GTTGCCATTTTACTGGTGGTTTGCCTTGAAGCTGCCACTTTCAAGGCTCCGAAAAAGGGAAATGGAGGAAGGAAACCCTGCTTTGTGCTCCTGAAGCCCAACTGCTCCTTTGTTTGAAGCCGACCAAAAACCTGGCAAATGGCCGGGTCTCTCGTCAGTTTCCCGACACAAGGGCTTGCTTTCTAGAAACCAACTTGCGTGTTGTATGTTTAAATGCCCCAGCCAGCCAGTACCAGCACGAAATGGACCCACTTGTGGTGCTCTAAGGGGTCATTCCCAAGTTCAAATGCGAGGGCGGTCCACATTTTTCGGGGATGCCCTTGGTGTCACAGAAAGTGTCAACCTAAAACTTTAACCATCTACCAAACCTCCTCTGTGGCAACCTAAACAAAATATGGGTCTGTCCTTTCTTAAGGTACCCCCGACATGATGGTTACATAGGGGTGCCCTCCAAAAAAAGACACGCCCATATGAGCCGAACCTCCTCTTCTCCTGAGGCCCGCACTCCGGAAAGGCCCCCTGTCAGATGCGTGGATGTGGCTTGCCCGGCAGCCCCCCCCGAAAGCTGTCTTTGAACCCACCGAAAGGACGTCCTTTAAGAGAAAAATGATGCAAAGAGGCCTCCTTTCGAGTCCGTGGTGCGGGTATCATGGTTTGCAGCTTCTGGTCGACATGTGAAGGATAGGTCTTAGGTGACAAGCAAAGACAACTAAAGTTGAAGGGGCCTGATGTAGAAGACAGCTCATTCCAGTATATGATATGAATTCATATTATCTTGTCTGTTGTATTATTTTGCATATCCTATCTCTCTAATTCGTAATACGTGTTCTTTTATGATATAATTTGGAGAAGAAATACGTAAGATTTATAATCATACTTGTCCGTATGATCGTTGTGATATTTCCATCTTCATGTCCGTTCTAATTTCCTTTATCTCGCTATCTATTGTTTGATCTATTTACAAGTATCTTATTTCTAACTTTAACATCTCATGCATCCCAAGATGTCTATTTCATATCGTATTTTTTTTTGTATCCCCATGGACCGTCGCACCGAGCCCATGGAAACTCCAAAACGCAAAAGGAACGGACGCCCAAAGACACGGGTCGCCCCAGTCCATGAGCTTCCTCCGACACGATGAAACGGCACTCGGCCGATGGCAACTCCAATTCAGGGCACGGACCCAGAACTAAAACTCAGTTGCCCAAAGGACCTGGAACTAAAAGGTGATCACCTTTTGGGGCCATGACTAAATATGGGCCAAAATCGGAAAACCAGAAGGTCAAAAGGTCGATTCGCTTTGAACAACTGAGAAAAGGTCAACCTTTTGGGGCCATGACTAAACATGGGAACCCGAAAAGGGGAACTCAAATGTCAGATCCGGTCGACTTGCGCAAAGGGCTTTTGTGAGAGCACCGAGAGAAAACCCATTGACCCATTTTCTACCCCAACCCAAAACGGCAGAGTGGCGGGGTCGCAAAGACGAGCGCTTCGGCTAATTTGCCTCCACTCAAAAAGATAGTTGAGGCTCTAGCAATCCTTGCACGGTGGTTGTCCAAACTGATCCCCTGCTAAAAGTTTAACTTGTGGGTTAAATGGTTGGGTTCACTGGTGGGCTGAATCGTAACCCAACCACAAACCAACCAAAAACAACTAAAAACCGTTCCAACCCAAACGGTATGGGCTTGCAAAAAAGCGGACTATTTTCTTGCGGCCCACCAAAAAATGAGCAGGACCCAAAAAACAACAATCTAAAAATCATGCCAACAACGGCAAGACACCCAAAACATGAGTCGTTGAAACCATCGCCGCCCGGCGACTTTTCAGCGGCAACGCCATGTTCATGGCGCGCAACATGGCGCGGAACATGGTCCGCACAACATGAGACATTTCCCAGTGGTTCCCAAAGCCTGGCACCCCCCACCGTGCTCAGCGGTACCACAATTTGCGCTGCGCAGACCCCTGCAAGTGGACTTTTGGAAAGGGTCCTCTGCCCAGAACTTCTTTGGTCGTGAAAGAGCGCTGAATAGAGCTTCTAAAAGCCAAAGCACAACTCCCTCCGGTTCAACTTTTCGGGGGGGGGGGGAAACAACGGCGTTTGTTGCGCCCATATTATACTGCACCAGGAAACTGTGTGAGGAAACTTAGTGGCTCGTTTGGCCCCTTGCTAAAAAGTTACACTTTGAGTGGGAGATGCAAACACCTCAAAACTCCAAAGTCTAACAGTCGAAGGGTTTTGCTAGCGGTTCCCTGGGCCGTGGCTCCCAAAACATTGTGGGTGTTTGTGCCAAACCACCAGAATATTCTCACAAACCCCACCGCAGTGGCAAGAACCCCTAACATCATCTGGGGCACAAACCCAGAGTTCTTTGGCTCGGCGGGGCAGGTTCAGATCGCCCCTACCCTTGCCGCGGGAATGAGAAATGGAATGACCCCGAACTAAACCATCCAACCTGTGGTTTCCTGTATTCGGGAATCTCTCAAACGGTTCATTCCCAACATCCTAGGTCATTCCCAACACCCTGGGTCATTCCCAACACCCTAGGTCCTTCCCTACCTATCGCACCAGCAAGTATGCGGACCCCGCGTACCGCCCGCAAAGCGCCTGCCCCTGGGTCTTCTTCTGCTGCCGCGCAGCAATGTCGATGAGGCTGCCCTGGCTTCTCCTGGAGTCATCCGCTTTGGGGGCTGTGGGGGCTGTGGTTGGGGGGGGGGTGGCCCACAAAGGGGCGGCCAAGGATAAGCCGAGGAAAAGCCCGCAATACAGCCTTAAGAGGTTGACAAGGGATAGGGCCCCCTCATGGCCCTCGATAGCAGGATGGAGAAAGGAGAAGCCGTCGGAAAGGAGGAACGAGCTCAAGCTCATAGAAAACCAACGGCTCCGTCTCACCCCTTTTTGGATGGTGCTAAAGGGAGGCAACAGGAAAACTGACGCCATTTTTGGGGCTTCCCTAAAAAAAAGCTACAACAACGTGCTTTTTGGCGTGATTCCCATTTAAAAAAACAACTTTCGGCTCTCTAAGCGGCCACAAAAGAAAACATGCTGATAGCTCGCTTCCAGAACCGACTGGCTTGGGCCCAAGGAAAGGGGCAGGAGGTGCTGAACGAAAGGGCTTGGCGACGCATCAGAGGCAGGGCCACCCCTTTTCAAGGAGCGCCTGAAATAGGTTCTTTTAGTCACCATGCCCAAAGGGAAAACGGGGAAAACGAAAGGCCACAAGGCTTTGTGGTTCGTTGGTCATAAACACCTCAGACTCATGTCTCATCGTCCAAAGTCGAAAAGTCCGAAATTAGAAAGTCTATTCTCTATTCTAAGGAGGCAGCAGGAAATTCGACCGGAAACCCCAACACGGGCCTTGGCAAGCCATTTCCAATTTCCTGTAGACTGGGGTTTGGGATCCCCCAAAATGAAAACCACCAAAACACCGGGGGCCTGCAGAAAACCCGACCAGCCACCCCGGAGCCATCCCCCGCCTGCCGCCTCTTCGTCTGGGAGGCGCCTCTTGTCCCGAGACCGCCGCCCTCGGACGTCGAGACGTCGGGCTTCGTTGGCCGAAGCCGTGCCGTGGATGTCTATGGCTCACGTGCACAGTGAAAGGTGAACCCTAGGGTGCGATAGGTAGGGAAGGACCTAGGGTGTTGGGAATGACTCAGATTGTTGAACCGTTTGGGGATTCCCGAATGCTTAACTTCTGATTCCCTGCTGAGCACCAGCAAGTAAAAGGACTCAGGTGACAGCTTTTGGGAAACCCAAAGGCAGCTCAACCACATGGACCAAATGGACATTCCAAAAGCGGCAAGGGCTTTTTGAGAGAGGTGAACACGCCCCAAATGTGAATCCCCAGTGAAAAAAAAAAACAAAAACAAAAAGAAATGGTTGTATATATTTTTAGGAATGTGCCCCAGGAAGAAGGGCATCTACAAAACAAGACATGCTCATGCGTCCTTGGGTGATCTCCCCAGCAAAGTAACCGGCTTGGTTGGGGTTATACTGTGGATGCACAAAAGTTGGAATGGATGACATCCTTAAAAAGAAAATAGACTGGGGTAAACAACATACCAACTACCAACCGGTGCGAAGTGGTTCGTCCATCCTCAGTATGACGGGCACGTCCCCTAAGGGAACTGCTGCCCCCGGACCACCAACCGAGATTGTCCACATCGACCGCATTTTCTGGGGGGGGGGGGGTGACACATGTCCAAATCGGCGCCCAATGACATGCGGTTCCACCAAGGACCAACATGGTTATGACAGGGGTCGCTGGATTTCCTCAAATTACGAGTTGATACAACTCACCGGTGGTGCTCATTGTCCTCCATCGCCTTTTCGGAGGTTCCGGCCCACCTGGGCCTCACACCAAAACCTCATGAAGCCTGGCAGAACCACCTGCCGTTGTGGGGCTGCGGGGGCGCCTTCCGCATCCATCAGGGAGCCCAGATCGAGGCCACGGCTCGCGCAGGAAGAGCGGCCGCGTCGAGGGGTCGCCGCCTCGGTCTTGGCGTCCCTTCGGCTCTCGAAACCGCCGGGGTGAACCGAAAAGTTCAAGGGGTGCACTGGACATCACGGTGGTCTGAGGATGTGGGGTACAAAAAAAACAGTTTCACAACCAGCGCCCCTCCAATTGGTGGTTTGGTGATGTACAAAAGCAAAGGGTTTTGGGAAATAATCAGCTTCCCTCCAATTGGTGGTTTGGTGATTGGGGAGTGGGCAGCCCCATTTACCATGTACAATCCCCAAACCAATTCAATCCAATCTACCAATTGAGGGGAACCTGAAAGCATTGCGATGAGGATGTGGGGTATGTTAAAACCAATCAAGTCACAATGAGATGAAACTATGAGTACGCTTCGTTGTGATTGCCCCTCATGTCATGCTTATCAACGAAGCTGTTGCTCCATGTGGCACGCATGAAAACTGGGCAAAACAATCCAACAAGTCTACGCTCAAAAACAAAGAGACCCACTCAAGACACATGATCCTCGCAAACAGCCGCAGCTGAAGAACGGCTCGTACACTGGGCAACACTGAAGCTCGGTGCAGTGGATAGTTTGCGGGGGACCTCTTGGTTCTTTGCTTCGATTCTGACTGATTCAAAAGCAAGAGGGGGGAACCTCCCAAAGGAACCTGCATCATTGGGCCCCCAAGGCCCTTGAGCTTGCCCAGAAGCTTGAAAAAAACACACACAAAACATGTTCCGAGGCTCGCTTGAAAGTGTCAACCTCAAGTAGGAACCGGTCACAACAACCTCTGCTTTCCAGTTGCCACTGTCAGCGAAAGAAAACCCACGGAAAATCTGACTGGTAAGCTTCCCAGCCCCTGGTATGGTAGCAAGTAACTTCGTTTTTGCAGCCCCTACTAACAATAGACAGAACCAAAAGCAAACAAAAAGCCCAAAGTTTTTCCAACGGTGGAGTAAGCCTCTCACCATTTTTCTCATGTGACCTGACGCCCCCAATTTTCCTTGCGAGGAACATGGGCCCAAAAAAAACCTTCTTTCAGGATCTCTGAAGTAGCAGGTTATGTACACCAAGGTAAGGTGTGTCTTTCTTGGGGAACACCTTGTTGTGTGGTTTTAAATGGAAGCCCCAAAAAAGGAAAACTGACGCTCTTCTTTTTTTTTGGGGGGGGGTGTACCCCTATTTGGAGAAACACCCAACCCCTACAGTTCACAACTGGAACCTCATTCCAAGAGTCTTCATCTTGAGCTCGGTTTCACCGAACGAGCTCGAGCCCATCCCTTTGAGCGTCTCGACGGTTGACGCGTGCCGTGGAGTAGTGGGCATAGTTCGCCTGCGGGAGCTCTGATAAGAGTTAGAACTGAAGGATCCGTGGGTCTAGGCTGGAATTTGGACCCCTGCAAAAAGATATCTTTTTTGCCTGGTTATCGGAAAACAAAGGGAACCCCAAAAAAGCAAAAAAAAATAAGCTCAAAAAATATCCTTAACAGCATGCGGTGCTCTTTTTAGTGCTCGCACCACCCCGCAGCCCTCGCAGGACCCCTCGTGGAACCTTACCTGGACCACCCCGGAGCCTATCTGGGCTGAGACCCCAAAGCTTTCAGCTGTTGGGGGAAAAAGGGGAGCTACTTCTGGGGAAGGGGTAGGGTTCCTACAGTGGAAGAAGATCCCTGAACCTGGAGGTTCCCTTATCAAACCACTGAAAAAACTCGGTTGCTAACTCTGCTCCCCTGCTAAAAGTTGTTCACTTTTAGTGGTTTCATACGGAAAACCCATTTGGCAAAAAGTTAAAGTCCTAACATCCAAGCAACATGCACCAAAGAAAAGGTGAGGCCACAGGATTGGTGTCATCCCCATTGAAAGTCATAGCCTCCGGCATGATTTCCTTTTCGTAGTTTTGAAGCCACCGTGGTGGACAGGACTTCGAGGAACATCGCCCTTTCTCTGCCATGACGGCATTTGTTGAACGTGGTTCCTGTGGCAATTGAGATTCCTTTGGCAAACCGACGATTTTCCACCATGAACCAACTTTTGGGAATGCCACACGTTTGAAAGCACCGTCCTCGAAACCTGACGACCCGCTCCCTTTAAAAACACAATGGCCCTTCCAAACCAGGACCGATTCCCCGAGACGTCAAACGGTTCCTTCCGTAAAAAAGGTGGCAAGGTATCCTAAGTCTACATCCAGCAGTGTCCACCAAACCTCCGCTGTTTTGGACTTGAACCCGGGGGTTGCCCTTTGGGAAAAAAATCAAACCACGCCTCGGCTGAAGTCTACCCGTGTGCCTTTGGGGACATCAACCAGCCCTGAATTTGAGTCTACCTGGGTAGTCAAAAAGTGGAACCTCCAAACCTCCACTTTTTGACTACCCCAAGGTAGACTTGAACCCAGGGTTCCCCCCCAAGAAAAAAACAAGTCCACCTTGGGCCAGTCAAAATCACCAAGAAACCTTGAACCCAGAATTTCCTTCGAGGAGAAATCAAGTCTACCGTGGGGAAGTCAAAAAGTGGAAGCCCCGGACCCAAGCCATCGCCTCGAAACCTTGCAAAGCCGCCGGGGCCACAGACCTCGAGTCGCGGTCGAGTCGTCGAGTCGATTCGCGTCGAGTCTGAGGCAGGAATTTTTAGGAGACGGCGCTGGCCGGTTTTCGGATCCCCTTGTGGGTGAAATGGACACCCAAAAAACCTCAGGAGACGGCTGGGAACCGCCAAAAGGTGGTGTCCCTTTGGTCCCCCCTTAAAACCCCGAACATCTAACTGGCGCCCTCCAAAAAAGTGTACCCCTTTTTGGTGACTCGAAATTTCCGTGCTGGCTTTGGTTTCCTCCCTATATGAATTTGCGGTGGGACCCTGCGGGCACGGTGGGGATTTAATTTAACCAAACGTGGCCATGGCTCCATCCGAACCCTTATCTAGGTCCTCCAGTAGAGAGGTTAGAATAAGGGTACCGTTTCCTTTTTCTGTAGTCTATTTTAGTAGGGGAACCCTCCCGCCAAAAAAGGGATTAAAAAGGGCACTACTGGGGGACCTAGATTGTCTCAAATCCCATGACCATCCAGAATGACATCAAGTAAAGGAATCGAAGCGCGAATGCATGTTGTAGCACACTACACAGCTGTAAGGGACCCGTTTGGTGCAAGCAACTTAGGGTCCATTGAAATGGGGGGAAGAGTGGCCAAGTGTGGGGAAGAGCGGCCAATATTAACTTCGACCCCGGATTATTTACATAGGGGGGGGGGTGCAACTCCAACAAAGTAATCCGGATCCGCTCTTGAATATTAAAATGGGACATCCAATTCTATTCAGCATCAACACAGGAGAGTTGGTGAAAATCGGAGAAGCGTGCATGCCCGTTTCTTGCTGGTTCGATGGGCAGGGAATGAGAAGTGGAATGACCCCCAAAAAAAACATCCCAGCTATGGTGTCCTTTCTTCGGGAATCCCGAAACGCTCCCAACACCTGGACTCGGAAAGTCTTTCCCTATCGCACCGATCGCAAGTGTTGCACGTGCTGAATTTGGGTCCGTCCCAGGACTCAGCGGTCGCCCTACCCAAAAGAGCGATGTGCGCTGCGCAAAAATGCCTCGCAGAAGCAACGAGAAGTCCCATTTGGGATCCTTCGCCACATGGGTGTCTCTGTGTTTGAGGCTCGGTACCCTTTGGGTCTGTCCTTTTGATTTTAGGGGACCCCCCCAAAAAAAAAAAACACACCCTTTTGGATGGCTTCAAAGGAAAACCAAAAGGAACCTACCCATGTTAGGGGTTCTTTTTGAGAAAAACCCAGCAATTTCACTCATCAAAACGCGAGAGTATCCAGAAATCTGGGGATCGAGTTTCTTTTCTGGGCTGTCCGCAGATGCTAAAAGTTTAACTCGCGGGCTCAATAAAAACCCCTAGGTCCTCCAGTAGAGAGGTTAGAATAAGGGTACCGTTTCTTTTTTCTGTAGTCTATTTTAGTAGGGGAACCCTCCCCCCCAAAAAAGAAACGGATTTAAAAGGGCACTACTGGGGGACCTAGACCCTCAGACCAACTAAACACATCTAAAAACCTTTCTGGAACTAAACACATCTAAAAACCTTTCTGGAACCGGACGATTCGCTGGGAAACCCAATAAGATTTGAGCGGCTCAGCATTCTTTCGGCCGGGGGGTGGACCGCTGTCCTCCAACGAGCCGTGATTTTCAGAAGGGCAGCACCCTTTCAGCCTTCCGCTCTTATGCTCCACACATTCACGTTTGGAATTAGATGAAGGTTTTTACAGGCGAGCACCTGAATAATTAGAATGGGGTTCTGGGGCACGCTCAGAAACGAATCATGATCATGGGAGACCAAAAGCCCTTCGCTCGTGTTCATCCTGTCATGTGGCTGTGGCTCAAAAAGATGGTACCAAAACGACACCTTGGTGAATGAAACCAGACTAAAACCTGCGGTTTGCCGTAGCTCTCTAATTTGGAGCCAAAAGCATATTCTTGGTTTGTTGATCATCCTTTCATATTCCTGGCTTGTGGCTCCCTTGACTAGGTCCTCCAGTAGAGAGATGTCCGCCGACATTGCTCGGCGTGTCGGACACCTAAGAGAGGATAGAGGATAACCCCCCCCCTAACCCCCCCCCGCCCGACGTCTGATACGTGGGGGGGGGGCCCCCCCCCCGCCCAAGGACCGCGCGGCAATTTGATGACGTTCCACTAAACGTAGTCTTCGGGGAGCCGGTGTCGCAAAACAGGGGTCCCAGGCTCGATTCCCCCTGCCGGCTCTTTGCTGGTTTGGGGTTCCTGCCTCCTTTTGCAGGAAATCTGGAAAAAACTCTGTGTTTTTGGACGTCCTAATTGTGAAAACGCTGGAAAACCCGTGTTTTTTGCTGGAAATATTGGGGAGCAGAGGGGAAATGCAAGGAAGTGCAAGTGAAATGAGGGGAGGAAATAGGAAGTCGACATGACAGGAAAGCAGCGGGACATGAAAGGGAAACAAAGGGGAACTGAAAGGGACATGCAAGGGACAGAAATGAAAACAAGGGGAGTGCAGGGGGAAGGAGAGGAAACAAAGCACAAGGAAACCAAGCACGACGGGAGATGTAGGGAAATGACTCGCAACGAAAGAACGGGACATACATGGCAAACGAAGCGGACATACCGAGAAAATGTCAGGGACATGAAGGGGGGGCTGAATGGCATGGAAGGGACAGGACCAGGACATCATGGGAAACGTGACAAGGACATGAAGGGGGAAAGCCAGTAGTGAGATGACAGTTCAGGGTCATGCAGGGGCAGTGCCCGGACATCGAGGCAACTCGGGGGGGGACGTGACGCTGCAATGCAGAGAGAGAGAGAGAGAGACAGAGAGAGAGAGAGAGAGAGAGAGAGAGGGAGAGAGCGAGAGAGAGACAGAGAGAGAGACAGAAAGAGAGAGAGAGAGACAGAGCCAGAATCAGAGAAACAGAGAAAGAGACAGACAGAGAGAGAGACAGCGAGAGAGAGAAAGACGGAGACTGAGAAAGAGAGACACAGAAAGACAGAGAGAGAGAGAGAGAGAGAGAGAGAGAAAGAGAAAGAGAAAGAGAAAGAGAAAGAGCGAGAAAGTGAGAGAGTAGAGAGGTTCGAATTAGGGTGCCCTTTTTCTGTAGAGGGGCGTGGACAGGAAGGAGACAGGGAGACAGAAAGAGACAGAGAAACAGAGACAGCGAGAGAGAGAGAGAGAGAGAGAGAGAGAGAGTGGGAGATTGAGGAGAGAGAGGCTTGGGGGGATGGGGAGAATGGGGAGCAGAGGGAGGGAGAGAGGACGACAGAACGCACGAGGGAGACAAGGGAGAGGGAAGAAGGAGAAAAGGGAGAGGACAATGTCGGCGGACTGAGCCGGAGGCTCTAAAGTTAGAATAAGTTGGTACCCGATGTTTTCCCTTTTTTGTCTATTTAGGGGAACCCTCCCCCCAGAAAAAGGGGTGAGAGGTCGGGCGCCTAGCTGGACCTAGGAGTCATCTGGGATGCGTCGACACGGAGCTCACGTCTCAGGTCCCGGCACCACCTTGTCGGAGTTGAACCTGGCACAGAGGCCCGCAGGCCCCGAGGCCTTCCCCCCACCCTTCCAAGGAACCGGAAAAAAGGTGGACTTGTGCGGCTGAAATACGGAAACTCAACCACGAAAACCAACGAAGTCAGAAAGCTGAGGACCCGGAGGGCCGGGAGGTTACCAAGAGAAACCAAGCAAAATACCTGTGCTTTAAAAAACAATCTGCTGGGCTGTGATTTCTGGATGAAATTGACATTTCGGGACCCTAACGACATCAAAAACTTCCGGAAACTTACTCAACTCGCATGGAAAAAACCACAAAAGCATCCGCGGCTCTTCACTCTTGAAAGGGGGTTGAAGCCCTAATGAATCTACAAGCATATGGTGTCAAAATTCAGGGACCGCAAGCACAAGTTGATGTTCTTCTCATTGAAGGTGAAACAGCGACCCTCAAAAATCCACACCCATATGCGGCTGTTGCTCTCATGTTGGTGTGTGGGCTTCGATTTCAAAAAACACGAATTGCCTTGAAAGAGTTCGGCCTCAAGAACAAATTCTGTACGCCCGGCGAAAGCCATGAACAACAGTGCCCCTCACCAGAACCTTGTTCGAATGGTCGAAGCCCTTTACTAACCAGGAAAACTCGGAACACTGACAGGTAGGTCCTTCCGGAATGTTCGATTTGACAATCCATTATAGAAAGGTCTTCCAACCGACTTGTTGTATCTCCATTTTACCCTTTGGCTCAAAAACACGTGGGTTTCTGGAAGAAAAAAGACCCCTTCCGTCTCCCAGAAAAACATGGCGCGATCACTTCTGCTCTTGCGAACCCATGAAGATGCATCTCCCTGAACCCACAACTGGTGTGGTAGGCACGTGGTCCGGCCCTTCATTGCAAATAAGCACGTGGCCCTGACGTGCCCTAAAAACATATGTCTCCCCTTTCAGCGGAAGGGTGAGTACTAACCGTTGAATGAAGTATGTGTATAGGGAACACGTGGGTCCGTCTCAAAATGCGGCACCTGGAGGGGGTCGAAAATCTTTAGTTCCTCCCACGGGAGGCATAATTTTGATTCATGGGCCCTGTGGGGGAGCGATGGGAGGGGCAGGGAGCCCAATTTAGCTCCACTAGGTCCTCCAGCAGAGAGTTTAGAATAAGGGTACCCTTTTTTCTGTAGCCGATTTTAATAGGGGGACCCTCCCCCAAAAAAGGATTAAAAAGGGCACCTCCCCGCGCGAATCTCGCTCCCCTTATTCCATGCTGCAAAAGCCTCTTGACTAAGATGGGCCTAGAGGCGCCACAATCAGCCCCCTTGGCCCCGAAACAACGAAAAACATCGAAATCAAGATTTGGCGCTATATCCAGTTCCCACAAGAAGGATCTTCCTTTACCTCCTTTTGCCCCGGAGAAAAGAACAAAACGAAAAACAAAAACACCTTACCCCCAGTTGCCCCCCGAGGGAAAACAAACAGACGCGCGCCGGGCTTTGCGCTTTGCCGCCCACCAAGCGCTTGCTTGACGTTGGAGGGGGAGCAAAAATGTGATTCCTTTTGCAGTTCAATGGTTGGATTTCAACCACTAAACCACAAGAAGCCGAAAAATGGCTGTGGCTCAAAAAACCGGAATTCCAAAATGGGTTGCCCTGGTAAGTGGAAGCATGGACCAACACCTGCGTAACCCTGGCTGTTTAGTTTTGAGCCACACCCAAATGGCAAAACTGCTTCCCAAGAACAACCCACCGCCCGCCCGCCTTCCCATCTTCCGGCCCTCATAGGTGAGCTTCAAGGTCCACGCCTCTCTCAGTCGAATGCTGGTCGGTGGCACTCGGGCGGCTCAGCTCGGGTTTTTGTTGGATGGGTCCCTGTTTGGGGGCGGGGGTTTGAAAGGGAAGCAAAAGGGAAAAAAAGCATTAAAAGGGAAACAAAAAAACAAAAACACCCATCTGGGTCCGCTAGTTCGAGACAACCCCGTTTGTGTTCTCAGCATAGGTGTCCTGGAGGGTAAATAGAGATGGATTTCCCTGGTAGGTGGATAGCCGAAAACCCATCCAAACCGGTGGAACCCATCTGAAGTTCCGTCAAAATTTGCTGTTCACCGTAAGTACGCTCGAATTTAGAGAGTCCCCTCTCGTTTTTCAGCGTTTGGTCTGTAACACAAAGTATCGTTTTTGAGAGCCCCCTATGATTTTCCATAGTTTCTAATTCTATGGAGTTCCATGAATCTATAGTTTGAGTATGAGTATCGTTGAGAGTCGTTATCCATGACAGAATCCATGACAAAAAAAAAAAAAAAACGATACTCATACTAATCTATAGAGCCCCCTTTCTGTCACCTTGAATCTATTTCTAATCAAACAAGCCGATCAAAACTCGGTTGCTAACTCTGCTCCCCTGCTAAAAGCTTTTCACTTTTAGTGGTTTAATACAGAAAACCCATTTGTTAGCAAAAAGCTAAGGTCCCAACATCCCTTGGCAACATGCGCCAAAGAAAAGGGCACCTATGGTTCCCGCTTCGATCCCAACGAAGGCCTGCGGACAAGAAAAGAGCCCTCCACATGCTGCGCCATGGCCTCGCAAAGACCGAAATCTGGCGAAATCCGCCTGCCAGTTTTGTTCAACTTGTGGGACATGTGACAAAAAAGCGGCTCTAAACTGGGCTGGCCTCAGATCCCTTGCTAAAAGTGAATAACTATTAGTGGGTTCAATTGAAACCCGACCACAAAACCAACTAAAAACACCTGGGACATGTCTGGAACCGGACAATGTGGTTGATTCCCAATAACTGTGACCTTCCCTACTAACTAACTTCAAACCCAGAAAAGAGGGGGCCCAAAGGAGGTTCCTCAAATGATGGTCTCTTGGGTTCCTTCTGTTCATCTGCAGCGGAGTCCCTTGGTACGAAGAATGGTTCGGGAGCGCCCCGCGCGCGCTGAGTCGCTGAGTCTCGCCACACAACTGGGGTCCGTGAAGTTGATAAAGCAGTAGCCCCGGTTCCTTGGATCGATATCGCATGGCGCATGGCGCTTCTTGGGTTTGGCTTTTGAGGGCACCCTAAGGGTGGTGTTCCTTTAGTTTTCCTTCAAAGTAACCACAAAACAGGCATCATCAAAACGAGACAACCCCCCTGTACTGGTTTAGAGCCAAGGGGAGCCTTCGCTGCCCGGTGTCCAGTAGTGACGCTTAGGATTAAGAACCATCAGACACTAAGGGCCATGACCGTCCCATGGGCTCCTTTCCATGGCTCTGAATCAGTATCGGAGGGGAACCCTCTCACAAAAAGAAGGTGAGAAAGGGCACTACTGGGGGACCTAGGGAGAGATGTGGGCCCAGGTTTCAAAATTGGGAATCGCTTTGGCTTGCTCAAAGATACCCGCCATGGGCCATGTCCACCAAGGAAACCTCTCAGACTTGGAGAAAAGAATCGAGGGCGATGACGACATGGAATGGGGCATGTCTTAATTCTGGCTGCAAGACTCCTGGTCTGGATCCCCAAAACCCATGGGCCACCGTATCCTTATGAAATCCCTAAGGCGGGTAGAAAAACAAGGGGAGTGGATAGTTGAGAGCCCTAGGCTGCGGATTTTGCTGGGTTCCTTAGGCAGTTCTTAGGCCAGCTTTAGGCGTCCTTGGGGGCCCCTTAGGCCCCCCCCCCCCCCACCCCCCCTTGAAACCTTTTTTTGGGGCATTCCCCAATCTCCTGAGCCTTGTGGGCCTGTAGTGTTTCGGATGTCTGCCATGCGTTGGGCTTCAACGAGCTGGTGTGCTGTTAAACCCATTGGAACTCGACCACCAGGCCGGTCGCCGGTGGCTTCTTGGTGCGTTTCCGCGGGTGGTGCGTGACACCCTGCAGGTTGCTTATGAAACAAATGGCCCGCGAGCAAGGAAAGAATGGTCTTAAGCAATGGTCCGTCAACAAATGGTCCGTCAACTTAAGCAACAAATGGTCTTAAACAATGGTCAACGTGCTTTTGAGTACAAGAATCGTATCAGATAAGTATCATGTTACAACGGCGAATGATCCTAGGTCCCCGACAAACGGCGGAAGTTGGTGCGTGACCACATTTCGGAATGGCAATTTGGTGTGCCCCAGCTGAAAAGTACATGCTCGTGAATATTGACCATTGCTCTGTGGATGAACAAACTCCTGCACCACCTGGAATGAGTGACAGTGAACCCCTATGAGTACTGGAAACAATTGGGCAGAACATGAAAACCAATCCCAGCCACCACCTGGAATGAGTGAAACTATGAGTACTGGAAACAAATGGGCCAGCTGGTGCATGCATCCTAGGTGCATGCTTTTGGGGAACGCCTTCTTGGGCTCTTTCCCTTCACAGAGGCGGAGCTTTGCTCATCCGGGCCCCAAAAAGTGCAAAGACTCTGAGGGCCCCACGCGTTGGTCTCTGGGTCGATGGGCAGGTACAGGAAATCAAAGGTGCCGAGGAAACCTGACCTTGGCACAACACTCGATCCCGGTTTGGCTCACAAAAGGGGAACCCGCAAAAATGGCGCGTCCTATCGGTGTCCCTTCAAAGCCATCCCAAATAGTGGCTCCCCGATTTTGAGGCATGCCCTTTTGGCTATGAATTTTGATTCGGAACCCGAAATGGTGAACATCAGAAATCGGTGGGTTCCGGACTATCCCCCAAGCACTCGAGCTCTTTCGCGATGATGGGCGACCCCTTGAATGGGCTCTCTCTAAACCTTCGAAGGTTGCTACGCACCTCCTTCGGAGCGATCGCCCCGTTTCTTCGAGAACCCCGCTTGGAGTCCCCGGGCCTTCCGGTGGAAACCAATGGCTCCGAAGTTCGGAAGGGAGCAATCGCCGTGTTTTTTGGACCAGTAATCCTCGGTTGCCTTTTTTCTGCTCCCCTGCCAAAAGTTGTTCGATTTTAGCGGATTAGTACGGAAAACCCATTAGTTGGCAAAAAGTTAAAGTCCTAACATCCAAGCAAAATGCAGCAAAGAATCAAGCACCCTCTGGCACCATTGACACATAGCCCGCAAGTGGCAGATTCAAGGGAAAGAACCCCAGCGGCTGACCAAAATTTGACCTCATGGGCATCCCGCGCCTCGGAGCCACTTCTTCCGAGACTTTGCCGCCCTCTGAAAGCGTGAAGCTGGGGTTCCCCAATCCTTTGCCAAGTTCCCTGCAAATATGGATGTGGGTAAAAAATAGGTACCCAAAATGAAACCTGGTAAATGGAAACATGGACTAAAACCTGCGGTCCCCTGGTGTCATTGTGACCCATATCCATATGGTGGTGGGGGTTCGCACATGTCTGGTTGCCACTTTTGTGAATGACCGCGAAGTAAGGATGATCCTCTGTGTGAGGGTCATTTGACGCCTCTGCGAAACTCAGGCGGGTGACAATTAACACCTGCTTGAAAGGTCTACCCAAATCCAGGTGGGTGTGTCTTTTTTGTGGGCACCATGTTCCTCTTTGGTTTTGAGGGAAACCAAAGGAAAACCAATTTTGGCGGGGGGGGCAGAACAGTCCCTTCTTGCTTGGCATGACGGGGAAAATCAAGGAAGGCTCAGTTGCCTGGTTGGGACCCAGAAATAAAAAAGGTCTAAGGTCCATCGATGGGGGTCTCAAACACCCGAAACTCGGGTCTCCCCAGAAAGCAAATGGGTCAACAGGATAGGGAGCACTTGGCAAGCTGCACAAAGAGCACTTATTTTTGCTTGGTAATTCGCTGTTCCCTTGCTAAACGCAAATCACTAAGCAATGCAAAGCGTACCACTCACCCGTCTCCCACCAATTGCCAAAAGTGCTCAACTTCTGGTCGGAGCCGCTCCGACCAAGCACCTCGAAAGTCTAAAAGCCTAGGAACCGCATACGCCAGGATTCAAAGGCAACGGCCAAATGCCCATGTGACGGCTGCCATTGGATCGGAACCCCGGAATAAACACGTTGAGTCATAGAGCTTGAGGTTCCTTCACTCTCCCCGTTGCTGATCCGCCAGGTGGATAATAGATCAATCCGGAGAGCTTCAAGGACAACATGTAGCTGCTACGGACTCAAAGGAGGTCTTCCAAAAAATATACGACGATAGGAGACATCACTCACGGCACGGTGAAACTTGCGCTTCTTTCCCCCAAAAAAAGGGGGCGCAACGGCCTCCGTGTGGCTTCCTTTCAAAACCACCAGAAACTGGGCACCAACTCCACAAGACACGGAAACCTTGGGTTGGCTCGGTGCCGTTTTTTGTGCTTGTTTTTGGGTTGGCTCGGTGGCGTGTTTTTTTTCTCCCCTGTAGGGCTGAGTGAGTCTCACACCGTCGACAATTCAGGAGATGCCCAGCTCAAAGATTCGAAGTTGGTGCGGATTCATGCCCAAAAGATGTCCTTGTAGTGTGTGTGTGTGTGTGTGTGTGTGTGTGTGTGTGTGTGTGTGTGTGTGTGTGTGTGTGTGTGTGTGTGTGTGTGTGTGTGTGTGTGTGTGTGTGTGTGTGTGTGTGTGTGTGTGTGTGTGTGTGTGTGTGTGTGTGTGTGTGTGTGTGTGTGTGTGTGTGTGTGTGTGTGTGTGTGTGTGTGTGTGTGTGTGTGTGTGTGTGTGTGTGTGTGTGTGTGTGTGTGTGTGTGTGTGTGTGTGTGTGTGTGTGTGTGTGTGTGTGTGTGTGTGTGTGTGTGTGTGTGTGTGTGTGTGTGTGTGTGTGTGTGTGTGTGTGTGTGTGTGTGTGTGTGTGTGTGTGTGTGTGTGTGTGTGTGTGTGTGTGTGTGTGTGTGTGTGTGTGTGTGTGTGTGTGTGTGTGTGTGTGTGTGTGTGTGTGTGTGTGTGTGTGTGTGTGTGTGTGTGTGTGTGTGTGTGTGTGTGTGTGTGTGTGTGTGTGTGTGTGTGTGTGTGTGTGTGTGTGTGTGTGTGTGTGTGTGTGTGTGTGTGTGTGTGTGTGTGTGTGTGTGTGTGTGTGTGTGTGTGTGTGTGTGTGTGTGTGTGTGTGTGTGTGTGTGTGTGTGTGTGTGTGTGTGTGTGTGTGTGTGTGTGTGTGTGTGTGTGTGTGTGTGTGTGTGTGTGTGTGTGTGTGTGTGTGTGTGTGTGTGTGTGTGTGTGTGTGTGTGTGTGTGTGTGTGTGTGTGTGTGTGTGTGTGTGTGTGTGTGTGTGTGTGTGTGTGTGTGTGTGTGTGTGTGTGTGTGTGTGTGTGTGTGTGTGTGTGTGTGTGTGTGTGTGTTTTTGTGTTTTCTCCCCCAACCCAAAACCGGGTTGCCGTTTACACCAACCATTGAACCGTTCCCCGTCACCCAACACCGGGCCGCCGGTTTTGCACCGCGCGTCCCCGACCGCGCGTGAAGCGCCGAGGTCCCGGCGAGTTGAGCTCTTCGAGCAGCATCTGCTGGTTGTACCTCGCGGAGACTTCCCATCGAGTGCTTCGATCCCTTGCCTCACTTGCCATCGACAGGATTGGTCGGGAAAAAAAAACTGGTTGTTTGCCGCTGAAATGGGCCAGGCCCAAAAAACGCAGATGAGACGTCCAGAAGCTCAGGAAGCGAGTTGCAAGTGATCACCTGTTGGTGGGATATGCCATAAACTACCTGGGTGTGACTTTGAATTGGGGACCCTCTGGTGACTTCCGCTTCGGCGGGGAGTTGTGTCCAATCGTGAGGTGGTTTTCTTGTCACAAACTCGTCTCAACTCCAAGTCTCAGGAGCCGCATGGCTGGGCACTGCCAAGTCTTCGAGGTGAGAGACACCAACGCAGCGAGGGAATTCCTTTGAAGCGGTTGGGTTGCAAAGAAACTTGGAGCAAACAGCGCCTGAAAAATGGTCCAAGATGCATCTCTCTCTCGCCTCTGTCTCTCGATCCGCCCAAATAGCTCGAAATACCCTCCCAGTCTGAAAGGCAACCTGTTTTGTGCCGCGTCAAGCAGAGTCGCTCTTCAAACACGCGCAAGCCATGGCCGCAGAACTCACGCTCCAAACGCAAGACCGGGCATGCCAGCACATGTCCGGCAGCTGAAGGGGCGTGTTTGATTCAATTTTCGCCAATGCCATGGACAGTTCAAGACTGGTCAGAACTGACTCGAATTGGGTGGCTAGTTCTCTCTTCGCTGTCTTTCTCTCTCTCTCTCGCTCTCTCTTTGTCTACCTTTTTATTTGTTTATTCCTTTATGTCCTTCTTTCAATATCATTTTCTGCTAGTTTCTTTGTTTATCTTTTGTTGTTCTACGCTTCTTTATTTACTCTGTATTTGTTTCTTTCTTTCTATGTTTCTTTTCTTTTCACTTTCTATTTAATTAGTTCCTGCTTCTTTCTTTATTTCGTTCTGTTTTTGTTTCTTTCTTTCCTTCCTTCCTTCATTCCTTTCTTTCTTCCCTTCTTTATTTCTCTGTTTCTTGTCTTCTCAGTTTTTATTTGCTTATTTCCTGTTTTCTTTCTTTCTTTCTTTCTTTCTTTCTTTCTTTCTTTCTTTCTTTCTTTCTTTCTTTCTTTCTTCTTTCTTTCTTTCTTTCTTTCTTTCTCTTTCTTTCTCTTTCTTTCTTTTTCCTTTCTTTATTTATTTGTTTTTCCTTCTTTCTTTCTTTCTTTGTTTATTTCCTTTCTTTATTTCCTTTCTTTATTTCCTTCTTTCTTTCTTTATTTACTTTTTATTTATTTCCTTTCTTGCCTTCCTTCCTTCCTTCCTTCCTTCCTTTCTTTCTTTCTTGCTTTCTGTCTGTCTGTCTTTCTTCCTTCCTTCCTTCCTTCCGTCCTTTCTTTCTGTCTGTCTGTCTGTCTTTCTGTCTGTCTGTCTGTCTGTCTGTCTGTCTGTCTTTCTTTCTTTCTTTCTTTCTTTCTTTCTTTCTTTCTTTCTTTCTTTCTTTCTTTCTTTCTTTCTTTCTTTCTTTCTTTCTTTCTTTCTTTCTCTCTCTCTCTCTCTCTCTCTCCTTCTCTCTGTGTCTCTCTCTCTCTCTCTCTCTCTCCTCTTTCTCTCTGTCTGATCTTTGTCCACAGCCTCAGCACAACCGTATTCTTGCACCGCCTTGCTTCAGACTCTGATGTCTTCACCTTTGTGCCGTTTATCTTCCACTCGTCAGACTTGATCGATCTGGTGAAATCAATCAGATTGGTCAATAAAGGTGCCTCGTCGCATTCTGGCACGCTCCGAAAACAACGGGACATGGTGAAAACCGGGTGGCGAAATCAAGCTCAGGCTCCATGCTTCAAACCGAAGCCAAAGGAAAACCGCCGTTTTGAGAATCCCTAAACAAGAGAATCAAGAGACTCCCGTGCTTCACGGCCCAACCCAGGTGATTCATATGGGTGCCTCCCCAACCTGTTGGGAGGGTGTTCCAACAATTCACTCCAGAAGACCGGATGGAGAACACACCACCACTCAGACCAAAGGAAAAGAACAGGGGAAACACACACACACACAAAGAAAAAAAAGGAGGATCCAAACTGGAGTGACTTGGACCCCTTCCCCCCAAAACACCCCCCCCTCGCCCCCAACGAAAGGGACAAAGCTGGGTGGGGCCTGACTTCTCTGTGCGAAGTGAAGTCTCTTTCCACCCCTTTCCACCCCGGCGGGGGGGCGCTTGTTGGGCAAGTTTCGGAGCATCACCGTGGTCTTGGACTTCCACTCCGTCGGCACTTCTTCGCCTACCCGAACCAACCGCACGAACCGAACGATCTGCGGAGAACCGACCAAAGGAGCCGGGAAAAACCGCCCGGAAACACAAAGGGAAGACACTCCCAGCAAAAATTTGGGGGAGCAGGGTTGCTGGGCAAACTACTGATTGTCAGAAACCCGATGTAAGGAAGCCAGGAAGCCCAAGTTTTAAGACCATCGCTGAGCTTGCACCACTTGTTTTACCAATCGGTGAGCTTGTTATCATGTGTCCTGAATGGTTCACTCGCGAGAAGGGAGGGCCAATACTTGCGGGGTCGAAAGACGGTGGCTCATTCCTTCTTAGGAATCGGACCCGGGGCCCGAATTTGTGGTTTTCCCTTTGGCGTCCCTTTAAAACCACCCAAAAAATAGTTTTCAAAAAATATATATTTACATTGCAACTTCAGCAAATCGCGGGCTTGACCCCATCCGGCTGAAGGTCAATTTGTGGTCAAGGGGCCTGTCGTGACCTGCATGCGCAGGTGACATGCTTTGAATTGAGTTTGGTGAGTGCCATGAACAAAGCGCCCATGAGCGGGTCACTCATGTTTTTGCAGACAGAAACTCGAAACCATTCTAATGGAAAACCTTCGCCATGGACCTCCAAGTCGTTCGCAAACCAAAAGTCCCATTTGCTATGTCGGTGCTGAACAATGACGTGTCCACCATGGCCATGTCCTTTTGTCGCCCCGGCAAATTTGTTTGTCCACGGTGGCGGCAAATCAGCCCTTCTGCACCAAATCCTTTGGACCATCCTCACAACTGCGTCCCCAGCGGGTTCAATCCCTTGACCAGTCATTGCAAGCGGCCACAAATCCGATTTCCAGAGGCCGCTAGATGCCGCTCGACCGATTCGCCTCGACAAATAGGAGAACCTATGAGGATGCTAGTTGTTGCCACTTGCTATGGATAGGAGAACCTGAAAAGCAACCAAATCCATAGGAGAACCTTGTTTTGGAATGTGTTGGATGCTTTTCAGGCGGCGCGAAAGGGAGATTCCAATCCCTGTGAGGTGCTCATTATGAGCTCGGGGAGACACTGCCGCTCTCGCCTCCGGTCTCGGACTCCGGCTTCTGGGCGGCCTCCGAAACGAAACGAACCGGGAAAAAATGGTATGGGGGCGGTGGACCTGACCAGGTGATAAAAGCATTGGGTTGCTATTTTTTCATGAAAACCATAGGCTCGTTGGAATGAATGAATAAAATGCCCGGCGCGGCGGCCCTCTGCTTCCCCTCGGCGGCGCGTGATTCCCCTGTGCAGCGGGAGTGTTTTTGCTTCACTTCGATGGGCCGTCTGCGATGCGAGGGAGGCCGTTTCTTCCTTCCTTCCCCTTTTAGTGTTCAAAGGGAACCGAGCACTACTGGACATGTTTTAAGTTTTTCCAGCGGACTTATTCGCAAATGGAAGTAAAGCGTTCTTGGATTCAAGAATCTTCGGACGCCAGTTGTGAATCTTGAATCCGAGGCTTCTCCAAAAAAAAGAACGCCGCTTGAAGCCTCTTCAAACGTGAACATCTGGGAATCTGGAATCCACAAAACCGCCTTTCTTCGGGCACTCTACAGCGACCCTCTTCAGCTTTTGGAGCGAGCGCTTTGGGGCGTTAAAATCTCCTTTCACGCCTGGAACTGGGGTTCGGGAACTGGGCACAGCGAGCAGTTTCCGAGCTGTGGAGCCGGGAACCGGAACTGAGGCTGCTGCAACTCAGCCAGTGACGTATGGCCGTGGGCCAAAAATAAGGCAACCATTTCCAAAATGGCTTGCCCTGGTAAATGGAGACATGGACCAAAACCTGCGGTCCAATTCCTGGCGGCGGCTAGTTTTGACCCGCACCGAATCTGTTGTGTGCTCGCCTAGTGGCTTAATTTTGACCCACACCTACATCTCCATTTCGCAGCTGCACGGTTTTTCGCCCGGGAAAAAACTTCAGCGAGAGTTGCAGTCAATGGAGGTCAACAGACGAAAAGCTCGCCTCAGGTTGTTCCTTTAAAGCCGCCCAACGTGGGTACCCTCTGAAAAAGACAGAGTGGCTCAAGCATACTGGTACATGGACAAGTGGACAAAAACCTGCGGTACCCACACATGGGTGTGTCTTTTGTGGAGTTGGTACAGCCATTTCTGGGGTGCGGGGTCCCCCCCCCCCCCCGAACACAGCCCTTTTGAGTTTTTGTTAGCCCCTTATCATTGCCAGACTCAGCTTGCCTTTTTCACTTTTTGTTTGGGTTTCTTTGATTTTGCTTTCAACCGGCAAAACAAAAGCTTTTGCAGCGGGTGAATGTCTGGCCAAGGCTGTTTGGTGAGATTTCATTGAATGTCAAAGTCCCCAGCCAGTTGTTCTTGTTCTCCGGACAAAAAGGGAAGACAGGCAAGCATCAAAAGATTCGGGGGGGGGGGGGTTCTACCGCAAACTCGGCGATTTCTCCGCGCACTTTTCTTAATATATACAGATATATATATATATGTATATATATATATATGTATATATATATATATGACACGCAACGACCCAATGGTCTTCATGGGGAAAAGAAAACAATGCATTTATCATTGAGGCCCAACAACCCCATGGTGCTTTCATGGGAAAACACCCAATGTGTGTGTGTTTTTTAATCGCCTGGTCAGGTCCACCGCCTCTGAAAGAGAGGCCCTATGCTGTCTGTATCATGGGCATTCCCCCAACCGCTTCCCACCATTGGGCGAGCTTCACAAGAACCCAGGGGAAGAAAAACACAGAGTGACAACAAAGGGGAGTCGGAACGAGGAGTCAGGATGCCTGTCAATCAACACCTGGTACTAAAGGGGCCTACCCAAATCCTGAGCAAAAGGGCAAGTCCGCCTATGGCTGGGCCCGTCCCATACCCTTCGTCTACCCGGGTTCTTGATTGCGGCTCAACCACCTGTACTTTGCCCGTCGGGATCAGTTTCGCATACCTCCAAGAGGGTCCATTTGCGCGCCTCACATCTGATACCCTAAGACACAAACTGCCTATCCAGGTGATTCAAAAAAACACACACACACACACACACACACACACACACACACACACACACACACACACACACACACACACACACACACACACACACACACACACACATTGGGTTGCTGTTTTCCCATGAAAACACCATAGGGTTGGGCCTCAATGATAAAATGCATTGTTTTTTTCCTCCATGAAAACCATTGGGTCGTTGCGAATCATCACATCTGGAACGCCGCAAATGGTTTGCTCGAGTGGACTCACCTTTGGCCACTCAAAAATGCTCCAGACCCAAAAAGCGCAAGTCCGAACCGGAACTGAGGGCGTGAGAATATGGGTATGCTTGGTTGACGTTGGAAGGGGAGCAAAAAAATAAATTTTAGCAGTTCAGTGGTTGGATTTCAACCACCAAACCACAATAAGCAAAAATGTGAAATGTTTCCCAACAACAACCATGTTTGTGTCAGAATGGGCGGACCCCAAAGTGATTGGTTTCCTTTTGGTTTCTTGTTTAAACGACAAGAGAGTTCCAACTCAAAAACGACGCACCCATATGAGCCATGGTCAAAATACATTGTTCTAGCCAAGAACATAGGGGAAAGAGTGCGTCCCCTTGTTTTGGTGAAAAAAATTCGTGAGTGTCCCACGTCCCTCCCAAAAAGGCTCGTACTGGATATGGGAGGCTCTCAAGAAAGACGAACTCATCTGGGTGCGTCCTCTTTCTAGACTCCCCCGAAATGGCAGTGCCCTTTTGACTTCTCTTTACTTGGCTGGCGTTGGAATGGGAGCAAAAAGTCAAACTTCGGCAGCGAAGTGGCTGGATTTCAACCACTAAACGACGATAAGCAAAAAACATATGTTTCCCAACAACCACCATGGTTGGCCCATCTTAGGTGATGTCTTAACCACAAAAGGTTGTGTCTTACTCAAACAAGGCTCTGTTTTTTAAACCAAGCAACTGGTCTTGCTTTGTTGTCTTTCTCTTGGATTTCAACCACTAAACCACAATAAGCCAAAAAATGGAAAACTGTTTCCAAACAACAACCATGAACACCCCACCCCCACCGCCCTCCTCCCGCCCCCCGTGGATTTGAGGGTACCATGGAGGCTTGGCTTAAAGGGAAACCCATGTTCAAACCCCACCAAAAAACAAACAGCGTTTTCCCTGGGATTCAGGAGGTTTTCTAGAAAGATTCGGATCCCTAGAAAGAATGTGTCAAGGAAGGTACCCCTAGAATGTTTCAAGCCAACCAAAAAAAGACCAGGGCTGTGGGAAATGACCACTTTTCCTGATACAACAAAAAGGGCCTCCCAAAGACTACCCCCCCATATAAAAAGGGGAATGCCCAAAAGTATCACAGAAGTGGTTGGACAAACCCCGAGGTGATCAACCACAACCCTGAAAAAGACGGAAGGACCGATCCAACCAAACTAAAACACGAGAGCGAGCCAGCAAGAGGCAACTTCCAACCCGCCTGCTGCGCCACCAGCGCCAGGGCGGGGGAGCTGCCCGGCAGAATCGCCTGGGCGGAATTCTGTGAGTCGCTGGCTCAAAACCCGGGTGGTCTAGGGGCGGGGGAAGAATTCGGGGTGGGTGGGTGGCGGGGTTGGGTGGGTGGGGGGGTAACTTCCATTTCCCATTCTTTTCAGGGATCCGAATCTTTCTTAGAAAAACCGCCCAAAACCCTGGTTGGAAATGGCGATCGGTTTTGGAAAAGAACGATGGCTGAAAAGAATGGGGAATCAACCCCAGGTATTAAAATGGTCGCAATCCCAGAACCATGCTTCAAGAGTTAAGAAGGCGGAAGTCCGCAGCTATTTCTTGTTGGGAGTGTCCCTTACTAACCTTCATCTACCCGGGCTTTGATTGTGGCTCATGTGATCCGCGGCTTGGTTCCTTAGGATCTATGGAGGCTGAGTTTATGAGGCGTTTGTGGGCGTTGTTGCGTCACTGCCTCAGTGATTTGTTGGCCC